AAGAAGCCGTTCCACCGACCAGAAAAGAGAGCGCACGACCACCCCCAGAAGAATGAAGAAGGGAGAAGAAGTACGACGAATGCAAAGAGAGCCAGGAGAGAAATGACGGCAACTATAACCCGGCTCCCAAAACGGAAGATCTACTCATCGGACAGGACTCTACGCAGCAAATGTCGCCGAATTGCGGAAGGCCACCAGCGGCGGAGGAAAAAAAAAAATACAAGGAAAATTTGAACGGCCAGCAACGAGGTCCAAGCAGGAACGAGAGAGAGAAGTTGTCCCGGTTCCGCCAAGACCAGCTGCCATCAAACGGCCAAGACCACAGGCAGAGGCGAAAAAGAAGGTATTCAAGGGTGACCGAACTGGAGGGAAAAGAAAGCTTCCTAGAGGAAGGCACTGAAGGGCGAGCCCGCACAAGAAGGAGGATAAATCAAACGTAGAATCTTCGCTACCTTCCAGGACTGGGGGCAGAGAAAAGAATGTCCGAATATCACAAAGATAAGTAAAATTTTATGTTACTTTGCAAACTTAAGTTAATCTTTCATTCTTACTGCAAGTGGCAGATTTCAAGAAGTTTTACCTCATGTGAGGTCTACCTTTATCGCCAAAAAGGCGAGAGAAATGAGTTGTTGTTACCTATTTTGGTATTATGTTTTTCAATTACTCGCGAGTAAAACTAAAAGTTGATGTATAATAGGAATGTGTAAATACTTGAATATTGTAAAAGTTATTGTATAAATTTTATTTAAAACATTCTGGCAAGAAAGAAGTTTTAGTCTGAAAGACTTTTGAAATGTAGTATTTCAATGTAGAAGAATTGGCACTTGCTTGGGAAAAGAATAGAAGTTAACAATGTACTACTAATGTATGTTTTAAAATGCGTAAAATTAACGGCATGTTAATATGTTCTTATATACAATGTGAACTGTTATTTTAAATGTTAAGAAATACTGTGATATGTTAAAAGTGAAAGTAATGCCAAAAAAATTTTTAACTTATTCGTGTGACTGAAAAAGAGAAAAAGAAAAATATTGTGAATATGTGTTAAAAAGGTTGAATGAATGTAGTTAGGCTCTCTGACGCTACACTTCAGAGTTAGCCACTTTCAGAATAGTACCTCAGGGTTTAGAGATGAAGATAGGGTGTGTTACGAGGTCTTGTTTGTTATGTTGAATTTTTAACACGTTAGTGTTTTGATTGTAGGAGGCAGTGTTGAACACTGGTACATAAACACATTCGTGTTCGGTGTTTTCTTTTACAACACATGTCAGAGAGCACGGGGAGAGATAATTAAATAAAAGTCATGAATGAAATAAGAATGTTAAGAGAAATATAAATATGCATGTTACTTGCCATTTCATTGTGTAACATTTCATTAAACTAGTTTTCCTTCCAGATCTCTGGAAGGAACCAGATTTGAATAAAAGCTCCTGTTTAGATGCAGTACAGATGAAAAGTAATTGTCCATGGAGCTGATAATGTAAAAACAATTTTTTTTTTAAATTTCTAGTTTCTAGTGAGAAATGTTTGTAAAAGATTGGCCTCGCGTTAGATTCTAGAGCTAAAAGTTTTCAACAAGGTCGTTTTAGACCTCAGTTTCAAACTAATTAACTCTGGCGGGAAGTATGTAAGGATCTTAAGTTTTACTAACGTTTATTTTATTTTAAATCTTTACTATCACTTCTTATTTTCTACTTCCGGCCAGAATTAAAAGCTTTAACTTATTTATGCAAATTTGTCTGGCGAACGCCAAGTACTTAAGTTGTGGCTTTTTGCCAAGCAAGAGAGGAAGGAGTTAGTAGAAGCAGGCCGCTTGCCTTAGCAGTTTCACTCGGTTGCTGGTTGCCTTCATGGCCAGAGTTTTAATCCTCTTAATAATTTTAAACGTATTGTAGTGTTAACAGTTCTCTGTACATACGGCTTCCTGTTAATATACGGCCAATCTTCCACGTAGGCTTTTGTTTATTATTCCAAAGTTAAGTTAGAGTTTAGTTAATATTTTTATATTCTTACGTTCAGACCACAAGTGGTTGGTCTCTGTATTCCGAAGTCCGGAAATTATTGTAAAGAGTGAAAAATAAAGGATTTCGTATACCCTTCCTCTGTATCTTGTCTACTTCCCACATTTATTGAACATAGCTTTAGTAAGCTCCCTGTTCCGAGTCAGGTCTTTGCATGTTCCCAAGGCAAGTAAGGCGGAACACTGAACCTGATAAGACTACGACGAGGAATTAGCAAACTGTAAATTGGGATTCTATGGCATCTTAATTGTGCTCAGTGGGATAAATATCTGGAATTTACCAACATATTCTTTAAATCACTGCAGCCCAATTCTGACTGCAGTGATTTAAAGCGTTATCATTGGAATAAAATTCCGTTGGAGAAATTAGAAGTTATAAAAGAATGCAACCGGTCAGAGACGTTCTTTATGTTGTTCGAAGTTGTCATGAGGTATTTTGTATCCAAAACCACACCCACAGAATATTCACAGGCCTACTGTAATCGCAAGCGTGGCTGATGCAGGATTTACACACTCAAATAACAACAGTGTCTGTCTGCAGTCATATCCAACAGAATCCGATGAACTATATGACCAGGCACATTTGTACTCTGACCTGCATTGCATTCAACTCTGAATTGCAGGCAGTTTCCTGTCTGCCTTTACCAATACAATCTCCCATATTCACATTTATTGATCAGGCGTAGACGTCTAATGTCTCAGCATCTACTGCCCATTTCACCGTCCTTCTTTCATTTTTTTTTCCGAAGTCATTCTTATGGTCTAAAGATGGTCAAAGAATTTTGCCTAATTAGTGTACATGAACAGGTCTAATTATTTTAGACACACAACGATCGGACCTAGGATCCTAGATTTTAAAGTGCCTCAGAATCATCATATAACTTCTCATAACGTTTAATTTTCTCTTATTAAAGTAAAGAAAGTAAATATTGGGACAACTGAAAGGGTGCTACGCCCATTTTGGTTACTCTCTTCCTGTCTTATCCCTGTAATTACATCCCTGTCTTAGAAATACCTTTCATGACGAAGAAGCGCGTTAAACATATGCCATTTAATACAGCGTAATGAAAAAAGCACAAAATTTGCAATAAAGGAGAAAGTAAGATAATTCAGACGATATGCCATGATAAAACTCCTTGCGTCATATTTTACAGGTGAGCAAATTTCGTGGTATGTTGTCAAAAATAATACCTTATTTCTAACAACTTTTGCTGCGTCTTGGTGGCTATTAGTTTCATACACGACGTTGGTACAAAATTAAAAGTAATTACAAGTTTATCAAAACTATCTCAAAATCTACTATTAGCATTCCAAAAAATTTACTTGTTCCTTCTGAAAAATCTACGCCTCTTGAATTATCAATAATTTTGTTTACTGGTTAAACTGGAAAAAAAGCCAGGATATTTAAAATGCATTTTAATGTGGCTTTAATGTAAGTACACGTAATTTTACAGAAGTTAATAATTAATATTTTCGTTAATTAGTGATTCCGTTCTGTAATTTAGAAGTTCCAGGATACCTAAAACCGAAATTCTACAATAGACGCAGCAGTATATAGCAAATTTCATGTTTCTAAGAATGGGAAATAGAGATATTTAATTCTAGTTTGATTATTACAAGATTAGATATCAATGAATGAGGGTACCGGCATTATCCTTTCCATATTGGTATAACTTCTGAGTTGAACTTGAAGATCGAGGATTTTCTAATCCAGTTGCGTTAAACGCGTTTTAGTAATCTAATAACTTTAACCTCATTTCGCTTAGTATGGCTTTATAATGGTCCAAATTCATGGTTTTACGTTTCTCAAAAGAGCGTGGTAAATAATGCCACCTGCACACCGCCACACAAATAACAATGCCTTTTGAGAACAAATAGCACTGGAAAGTGCTCTGGCCGCTTTCTTTGCATCTAACCTCTGAGTGAAACTGCTGCGATTGTTTTACATCGCCCACATTTCATCGCTGGTAGTAGTTCAATTCAAAATGTGTCCACATTTGTTTCTCGGAATAAGAGCTGTGTTCATCTCTACTCATGGAAGTGAGATCATCATATTCAACATGTGTCTGTGCATACAGATGCCGAAGCACAGTGAAATGGTGAACATTAATGTTCTCGGCTGTCGTAAGGGCTAAAAAAGATTGCTTTCGATGTTGCATTTCTGCAAAATATCAAACTGTCTTAAATTTACTAGTTGGGTAGAAGACATAAATTAAATTATGAAGGAAAATCTTAATTCTGAATGCATTTGAATTTAATATGTTAAACTTCTGTTATTATCACTGAAACTGTATTTAGTTTCTGAAAGTTGCATCCTTGTACTTATAATCAAGTTGCAGTAATTCTGTGTATCTTATATAAATGTGTGACTCAGAGTGACTTTAACATTTATGCTACTAAAATATGCATGAGCGTCTACTGCTAGGGCAAATGCTAAACTTTTTATAACTTGACTCGAAAGAAGCTATTCAAATTTTCCTTCCGAAAGTATTCGAATTTTAATTGCCTGCAATTAAAAAAAACGTATTTTATATTTTATAGGCTTTTTTCTCGAAACAAAATTAATGTTAAGGAATTAAAATTTAATAATATTAGATACTATAGTTTTAATTTTACTTTATGTATTCTTAGTTCTGCATATAAATCCCTGTGTAGGATTAAATCTTCAAATATTACAACGTCCAAAGTATTTCATTGGATAAAACAGTGAACTTGTGAACTGGAGGTAGTTAAATAAGAAATATTATTTTGCACTTTTAATGTGATCAATAAGGTATGCTTTTATATTTCCATTCCACTAGAAAATTTCTGAATTAAATATTAACGTATCCTTTTATTATTCTAGTTTTCCGGTTTTATTAAGCTGATGTTTCTCGTTATTAATAAAAATAAGTGTTTCACTGGATTAATTGCATGATGTGTTCTTTTAAATCTGCCCGTGCTTTAAATTGCATATTTAATTTTGCTTTAATATTTTCAGATACAAGGTTTCCTCATCTGGCAAAAGAGGCATGACAAATACATGAAGCTTAAGAGGAGTTTTGAATACTGGAAAGCATGCTCGAAATTCAAGACTTGTTACAATGGCTCCTACATAGATGCTTATTGCAGAAACCATACTACTTTGATAGCCAAAACTATTAGACTAAATCTCAAAGAAGCCTCTAAATTATTCGATACCCATCCAGAACTTAATTTGAAAATAATCTATTTGACTAGAGATCCCAGAGGAACACTGAATTCCCGAATGAAATTTCCTGTAGCTGCTTGGTGCAACAAAGATCCTATGTGTTCCAGTCCAAAACATTTTTGTTTGAGCTTAAATGAAGATCTGGATACCATCTGCTCTTTATCATCTAAACGTCCAGATGACTTCGCTGTCGTACGTTACGAAGATTTAGCCATGGACCCATTTGGTGTTGCCAATCATCTAGTAAAATTCCTTGGACTTCCTTCCATGCCCATTGAAATGGAAGTTTTCCTCAACACCCACACATCAGTCACAGGAAATGTTAAGGAAATATCTCAGGCACAGGGCGTTGAATATCCTTATTCTACATTCCGAAATTCATCCATAACTGCCATGTCCTGGAGAAAGGAAATGGAGTTTCAGCACCTGACTGAACTCCAGAACATTTGCCAACGTGTGCTGACCGGTTTGGGATACTATTCCTACTCCAATCTTGCAGCTTTGAGATCGAATGTAAATTTTGATATTGATCTACCAACTTCCCTCAGCACTGTTTGTAACTTGAGGTAAAATATTTTGTACACAGAATCTTATGGAACGTTAGAAACATTAGTACATAATATAAAAAGTGTTATGCGCTAACGTTTCGAACTATTTTGTACAGACGTATATAAAAGATGACAATTCATATTCCAACTGACTGAAAAATAGTTTATTGAATCTGAAGGTACCACAAAGTACGGCAGAAATCCCGTGTATTAAAGAGAAAATTCACACTATAGACATGTTGGTTAGAGTAGGCTGCAATTTCATTAAGATCTATTCTTAGAATTTTTTCACAGATAGAAAATTACTTCCGAACTCTGTGTATTTCTAAGGATATTTTTGCTAATAAACTTGTAAACTGAAACTTTCCCTACAGTGAAACACCGTTTATATGTTTGTTACGTATACGTCTTTTACATTTATACGTCATTTTATTTATATGAAGTTCCATACAGTGATTCAGACAGATAACTGGTATTTTCTGACTAGACAGATTCCGATACAGTTGATTGGTAGGAAGATCGCTTGGAAATAAATTAAATGAATGTAGTGAAGCTCGCGGACCAGCCAGATTTATTCACAGGACATAGTAATACATTTTTATGCTATATAATGAACACATTTTAATAGGATTGTTATTTGCTCTTTGAAATCTTAACACTTTGCTTAAGAATCAAAATCAAAAGGCACATCAAAAAACAGTTGTTGATGTTTTAGGTTATTAAAAAGTTAAGATTTCCTTCATTTTCAAATCTATCTGAAAAAAAAAGTATTATTTTTTTCAAATGAATAATCGAAATAAAGTTATGAAAATTTTCCTTTTTATATCAAATATTATGCATTTTAATTCTTGTGAGTTGAAAAATGAAATATTTTTTATCAAGGCAGTAATTTGAACAACTTAAAAAGATAATGACAAAATTAAATGTGTAATACAGTTGGTACAATAACAATCAAATGTTAAAGGTAAAATGCACTTAAACTGAAATTTTGATTGCATCATTCTCGTTTATACCTTTTGTGTGTTTATTTAACAGGCAAATAAACGGCGCTTCACTGAAATGAGTTATATATTTTTCTAAAAACAAATATTTTATTAATTTTAAATGTTTGAATTAGAACTCCCATTATTAAAACAAGCATTTCATATATAAAAAAAATTTTTAAGTTTCTTTGGATGTTTATTGATTTTGATGCACTGTTACACAAACTGAAAAACTTTATCAAATCTACCCAGAATCTAGTCATCTTATTTTCTTTTCCCAATGATCCAAACACACGTCGATTTGATACTCTACTTGTTGCTTTCATATTCTTCACTTTGTTGTAAAGGTTTCGTATTAGATATAAATGCAGTATGTTTGGAACTACTTTCCTCTATCCCAAAAATGTGTTTCGCATTGATCAGTGATTTCAAATGGGTCTGATCCAACTCGACATTCCAAATCTTCCTGAAGAACACCATGGAACTAAAATAAAGAAAGGCACAATGCAGAGAAGCAAATTTTTCGAAATTGGTCTCGTTAAATCATTCCAGAATTCATTTTAATTTCTAAATGTTAAAATGGTCATGCTGGTACGCAAAATAAACTTCATTAAATGTATGTTATGTTGCTTCAGGCTGAAATACTATGATTAGATAACCAGTATTTTATAACCTTATATTTCCTGTGCCTAGGATTAAAAACGTAAACCTCAAGTAATGTCAAAACTCTACAGCATGTTAGCCGATCTAGCAAGCTAATTATTCGAACAATGCATTGGAACATGTAGCTCTGTCGGCATCTTCCAGATTTCCGATTCTTCCATCAGCAACTTTCATCGGATTCCTGTATAGTAAATGTGATTCACTATTCTAGAAGTATTCTTGTTATTCATGTTTTCTGAATCCGGGCTTTAGCTCCCCAAAATAAATTTTAGAACTAATAAATAATTGGTTATTTATGCTTGCATATAGTTTTTCTGTTTTTAAAATCTATTTCCTGCATTTCTCTACAAGAGTAGTCGGTTACTCTATTTTTAACCTTTTCAATGAGCTTTGTTATAGGAAACAAAAGATCAGCGCTTAAGGCCACAGATTTAAATGAGAAACGCTGTCGTTCCTTATCTTCTCATAACTTTCTTCTGTCTCTTATAAATGCCAGAAAAATGGGATCTGAGGGTCTTCGAAATTATGGTGTGCCCAAAGCCGCAAACTTGCTTAACCGTGAGCTATATTATTATCCATCTTTCAATATTCTATATCTTCTTCCTATTTCGGCTATGTAGTCACTCGGGATTGTTGCTGTGATGTCTAGCTCATGTATTAAATTCTCATGTCAGAGTGGTAATCACAGCAGGTGGAAATCAGTACTAAATTGCCATATCAGTTAGCTGTTATGACCACCCCATGCTGAAAATCATAAACTTAAATCATTAGTGATAGTTTGAAAGTTTCCGAGCATTGTTTTGCATCTATAAGAATTCTCAGCATATGGTATTCGTGCAGACAATTTTGCTTAAAAGATTTCTTGAGAAACTTTCGATTGGGTACTCTGTATCCAAGCGGAAATTGAAAATACGGTTATAAATTTCTCTCCCAGTTACGATCAAAGAATGTGATAAAGAAAGACTATTACTTGCTTCATTTCTGCAAAACTGTAATAATATAACAGCATATTCATTAGGTGGCAATAATTCAATTCATTTAGGTCATTGTTTGAAGACACGTGAAATGCACAAAATCGGTTTTATTCTATGAGTTTAAAACCTAATCCATGAGTCAAATGAATATGGCTGAAAACATCACAATCATATTTCATTTTGATTTAAGAAAGTTCCAACTAAACAAATATAGAGCATTTAGAAAAAGGCCTTTTTTTATTCTGAAATTATTATAGGGAATATTTTTCCAGCTTTTGTACATTGCTTCTTGACTCGTGATAAGCTGCGTATTTAGATGACAAATGATGTTTAAAAGAAGTGCCTCTGTAAATCCTGAATAAAATTTTTATTAAGTATATTTTTGTTTCGTACTGTGTCAATAACCTTTACTGCATGGAAATATTTGTTTGGTTGCTATGTGATATTTATTTTATAATTTCATGAGCAATGGTCTGTGAATAATGTTTAGAATATAGCTATATCCTCAGTAAAGTGTCATTATTCATTATCATAATAAACTATAATTAAGTTGTTAAAAATCTAGCCATAAAAATTTACCACAGAATTATTGTGTATCAGAACCACGCTACACATACTTCATTCTAGCGGGGGTTTCGGTTTACGTTTGACTTTCTAAACTAGAGATTAAAAAAGTGTTCGCTAGACTAGGCGGCATATAAATATGTATCCATTGTTAAGAAAATGTTAACTTGTTATTAATATTATGTTTTAATATATTTCGTCTTCGTGTGGCCTGTTTACTAATTGAGGTAATTGGGGTATTGCTGAACCTAGCTAACTGTTATTTCTGCTTTTGGAAGCATCAGTTGTTGAACTTTTCAAGGACAGTCTTTTCTCAATATGATTTGTGTACACTATTAATACCGGAACTCATTTATCTCAGAAAGTCCTCTCAAGTGGTTGATGGTAAAAAAAGAGGGGCGGGAGAACCTCGGACCACCCCCCGGGGTGTTCTCCCTCAAAATTGGGGTGGAAAGTTTAACAGTTAGCTAGGTTCAGCAATACCTCAATTACCTGTGGTACTACGGAGGTGCTGGCCTAGCTTCTACCTGTACCTGTACCTGTGGCCTGTTTACTCTGCGGATTACTTGTTTTGAATTTTAATTCAACACAGAAGGTAAGCAGTCACCAAAGAAAGAAAAGGTACGCCCATTTTTGATATTTCTATTGAAATAAAAAAGGTCTGTCTTTAGAGAAATAAAGAATTATTAAGTTAAATTTTAACCTAAGTAATAACTCAGTATTAGTAAAAAGGAAAACTGTCGGACAATAACAATATTAAACTTATTTTAGAAAAACACATTTCAAAAGTACGCATTTAAACAATACATACTTTAGTTTATTGACGACTGTCTTCCTTTTCATCACGTATTCTGTTATTGATAAGGAAATGGTAAGTTAAAAGTACAATTGAATGTGAAGATTGATTTGCTTTCGGAGTTTCAACGATTAAAGATAATTATGCTACCAAAACTATTATCCTTTCTATGATACAGAAGACCATCAAGGGAGCAGCCGCATCATAATTACAACTTTCGGCAATACAAGCGCCATCGATGGATACCATCTACTCTCTGCTACACCAAACCAAGGAGGTGGCTTGGTGGTCAGCTGGCATTTATTTAGAATTTTTTACATAAGTTTTTACATGAATAATGATATAGAGTTTTACATTAGACAATGTGTACAAAGAAACATATAAAACATGTACATGATTATTACAGTAATACAATTTTGAGATGTGTAGAGATACAGTTGAAAAATTATACAAATAAATGTAGTTAAAAATGTAAGAATGTAGGCATCAAAATGAAACTTTTAAATATATAAAATTAAAAATAAACCAATGAAATCAGGATGAAACATAGAATTTTGACAAATATTGCCTAAAATTAGTTATAAATAGTCAGTAAAGTTTTTATATAGTCAAAGAGAATTAGAAAAGTCTAAATATATAAATGAAACAAAGTGTCTTTAGTTCTTTAAAAAGAAGTCCAAGAGTTCACAAATTCATATAAAGTTCATACGAGCAAATGTCCACGTAGAAATGTGAATTTGAAGGTAAGTCTGTACGAAGTAACACGAATAGTACATGTGTGCTTAAGGAATAGGATTAAAAGTAGGTAAATCCCAATGGCCAAAATATGTAGAAATCATAAAAATTTTAAATGTGAAGGATCAGAAATGTTGAAGATCCTCTAAGGATTTTTTCATAGTCCTTGATGAATGTTGTTACATGCAGATGATGATCATGAAGGAGATATTCCATCGTAGAGAAAGGTATATCCATAGAAATAGAAGATGTTAGCACAATTCTAACAGGAGTCGTTAATTTGTAGCGTCTTGCCATGTTCACATCAGATATGATCTGTTAATATATTTTGCTAAATAAGGAACAATTTGCAAATGTAAACCATAATTCTTATGGTGTGTTTTCATTTAAAACAAAAGATTACAGCAAGAAATATTGTCAATCGAAATATTTCATCAAACATTTGAACTGTATTATAGGAGTTACTGATTATATTCTTTCTTAGAAAAAATATTTTGCCGATATTTATTTTACAACAAGCAAGGCTGAAAATTGTTCTGTTTCGATTAAAATACAAGTTTATTCAAATTCCTCAACAATTAAAATTAAATTTCACATCCTAGATAATCGATACTCAATTTTCTTATTTCAGTTACACATGCGAACTAATCAATTTATATCATTTACATATTTAAATCAAGGATTTGCAAATCTACTTCATGATCCATTTAATTTAACTTGAACTACTGCTGTAATTTTAGGATGTTAAAAAAAAACACATTATCTGAAATTCAACATCTATATTAGGACAAATACACAAAATCAAACTATATTTTTATACCATAATTAACTTATTAAGATCTGTCATTTATGCCTCGGTAAATTAAGAAGGGAAGTGGAGACAATTTTCAGCCATTTAGAATTAATTTAGTGATTCATTTAAAGTCCCAAAAGAAAGTTTCTGGAATTTTCTTTAGAGAGATTCATAGGAATAAATGAAAACACAGAAAAAGGATTTATCTTAGGTAGACATCTTGAAGTAGAGGAGAGCTCATATCTTAGCGCTATCCTTACGACACCTTGGCAAATCCGCAAGACAGAGACTCGAACGGCACGACAATAAATTACATCAGCTATACCGTCCAAATCTTACGCCTGCTACTGGTTTCCATAGAAAGAAAATTATTCCCACTGGAAGCAAGGAGAACAGCTTACACCGCACGGCTGTCTGCCTAGACTCTCAGCTCCACCAAGGAAAACGTAGACAATTAAGCTAGGCATTTTAGAGAACGGCTAACGCAGGCTTCCATTTGACTAAGGTGACATAATTCCTTCTGTTTTCAAGTCGGAGTTCAGAGGACATCGTCCTGACTTTTGCCGATACAGATAGAGACCCAAGTCTCTGTTAATTTTTTGTTATTCGCTCAACAGTTTTTTTTTTCTTCGCATTTTTGAGAAAACCCGCGGCCGGGGAGCATAATTGCCGCTTCCCCGCCGGAAGCACTGCTCGATGCCGAACTAAATCTTTTCCTTTCTCCTTCGCAACACCCACAAGTTTTTTCTCAGTCTCCGTCAACAAGTCCGTCGAAAAAGTCCTTCAAACCCGAATTTTCTTCGTCTCCTTCACAAATACGGGCTCCCACAATGGCTTCATTTATCGCCCCCTATTTGGGACTAAAATTTGCGTTTCTTCCCTCGAATGACAGAACTTGGGTGATCACACATGCGCGCCCCTCTTTACTTAGCCAACGACCGGACCCCGATCGCCAATACCAAATGACTTACAAGTGGCAACCTCTGACCCCTCTGTCAAGTACTTCTTGTCCTAAAGGTCAATTGCATAAAAGAAATTTCTTCTAGAACAGTGCTCCGCAACCTTTTCTCACCTGCGACGCACAAAAAATCTTTCTGGAATTTCGTGGCACACCAAAGAGTTCCGAGTTATCAAGGAAGTGCCGAAAAAATTCAAATGCTGACACACTTACAATGACACACACAACCACACAACAGTGAAATATATAAAAATATTTAAAATAGACATTATTAAGGAAAAAAATTGTCATTGTGTATTAAATACATGATAAAAAATTGCAAAATGTCAAATACATGTATTTGATTGCGGCACACCTATATCCTACTCATGGCACACCAGTGTGCCGCGGCACACCGGTTGCGGAGCACTGTTCTAGAACATTCTAAATGACGAACCAACCCGCGAAAATCATGACCTAACAAAATCGCCTCCCTTCCCGCCCCCCCGGGGATCGACGTAGAGAATTCTGCGAAGCTACTGACTAGGATCTGTACCTAGGCAGTCTCGGCCACGGGGGTATAAAATTTATGAACTTGGTGGTTCTGAAGGCTCTGGGAAAGGTCACTTATTGGCCGGCCCCGGAGTCTGGCACGTCCTAGCGCGGCGTGGTACTAGTAACCCGGGGGTCTCCCCCGGGGTCGCTGGGTAATGTCCCGCTGCGACGGGCTCGCTCAAGCGACTGGTAGGAGCATTAGACGACCGGTGCTGCCTGAGGTACTTGCCCAGGTGGTGCGCTGCTCTCCTGGAGGGTAACAGTGGAGGTTGAACCACCACGATGTGCCCAAAGGGGAAGTGGACCCGGAATGAGATTGAGTTCTCGATACGGGGAATGCCCTAATCTTCTTCTTCTTCCCTTCCCGGCTTCTTTTGACAATGAATCAAGGCCTGGACAAAAATTGCAAATAAAAGGAAAATAAGTAATATTCTTTGAAGCTAAATAATATTCTTAGGAGCATCTGTTTTTCCCGAAATTAAAGCATTAAAATAACAATTCAGAATTAAATAAAATTAAGATTTTCTTAAATCAGAAAACTAATTCATCTGGTTTTTTATAACGCGATCGGACAATTATCTACACAACAAAATAAAGGAAAAGTAATATATTAGAAAAAACGCTCTATGTTTCAATATTTCGTATAATATCTATACAAAAATACAAGTCTCCAAAAGCCACGTTGTAGAGACAGTAAGTTATTTCGAAACAGGAGACGTGAAAAATGAGCAATGTCCTCGCCGGTAATCGAACCACGGACCTCTCGTAAGAAGCTGTATTTCAAGCTACATAAATGTTAATTATATATCCAATCTTTAAATTTTTAACAAATTTTCATTTTTAACAAATACAAGTGTATTTTTAAATCCTTTAATTAATTTCTCATTACGCATATTTCATATTTTGCTTCAATTAAACACTTTTTTAGTGTTCCGAAACACTTTGAAAACAGTAAACACTTTTAGTGTATATACTATTCAAGTTTATTTTTATTGCTAT